TCTTCATTTGCACAACATTGTTTGGACATGCTGTTGAAATTCTCTGGGCCTCTTTATGATATGAGAATGAGAGAATATGTTGACATTTGACTTTCTTCTGTGAATATTTGCTTGCTAACCAGTGATTGTTTGTAGATTAACCATGGCATTTTGTGATAGGAAACAAAACTGAAGGTGTTTCTGTAGAATGTTGGGGTCACAATCACTAAGAATGATCTTGCTTTTCAAACTAGTTCGAGTACGTGTTTTTGCTTTTCAAATACATTTCAAGCAGTGCTTAGGAATTATATATGCATATCAATGAGAATAATCTTGCTTTAAAATTTTATAAACTTTCTGAAAATGATACAGATAATGCAAGTAGTAGTACCTCAGTTGAGAATATATGCAGAGGATTCTGTTGAATGTGGGCCCCCGCAAAATCAATTTGTGCTGATGTGGTGAAATTGGAAAATGCTAAAGCAAAAGTGATTGTAAACAACTTCTTTGGCAGGTGTGCAGATTACGCATGCTATATTAAATTATGCTATTTATTTTTCCTCTAATTGACTCTGCATTTTGGATGAATCAGAATAATTCAACTTATTTGGTGATGAACATATGTTGTTAATCTTATCATGTTTCTCTTCAAAGAAAGATGCGCTTACTTGAGACGAAAGGCAAGCTCTTGGATGTTTTATTTCTCTTGTAAAGTTTTAGCTAGTTCTTGTCAAATTTTTCATGGTCTAAATGATTTTGATTTCCTTTAAACATTGGATGAAACTGAGACTTCTCTACTGCTTTTTAAACCATATATCTTACAGTTAATGATCTTAGGATCCTTTATGAATGTATATATGATGTTGAAATCATCTAATTATTTAATCACCAAAGCTGTAATACGTTTGGATCTGACATTTTTGGCTGTTCCACAGTTTAAAGGTCATAGAAAGTTTTCTTCATAGGCCTGGACACCAGACAGTAGGTGAGTAAGTCCATCTTCTGGAAGTGGGTGTGTGCGTTTTGTTTGGATTTTGATCTTACTTTAATGGCTTGTACTTGTAGCTGAGAATGGAATACTATCTTTTACATTTTTGATGTCGTGCATTTAATTTATGCTATTTGCTATAGGTTTAAACTTTTTTCTTCCCCTTCAAAACAGATATTATAGGTCTAAGCTTACCCCTTTTTTTTTTTTTCAAATAATGTTTTGTACTTCAAAACAGATACTATAGGTTTGCTTAATTTGTATGATTTCAAAATGCCTCTAACCTGAATGTTTTCGGGATTATTAAAAAATAGCTCTGCAAGCCCTATCCAGGATTGGGAAAAGAAGGGCAGCTCCTTTTTATTATGACAGCCTTTTAATTTTTTTTTTTGAATATCGGCAAGACATCCCTTTAATATTTGGGCTAACTTCTTGTTTGTCATATATCATTGAAGAATCTTCATATTGGTTCTCATAGCCATTAAGCGCTGGTTACTCAATTTTCACACTTTTAGTCTAATAGAAAGTTACCCATTTAGATCCTTATGCGGATTTTTGTGTTGGACCTTAAAAGTAAAATTTTCATGCGAACTAGCTAGGCCTGGCAATAAAACTCTCGATTTAACCATTTGGCCCATTTAGTTTGAACCACACTTCAATAAAGCAGACAGACCCATTTTATGTATTTGCATTAAGCCCTAAAATTTTCTGTGATCGGAAGTCACCTGGTCAAAAATTTCAGGTTGGGGTGCTATAACTCGGTAAATTGGATTGCATTCTATTAAATTATTGGGCCGTTACGTCTATTATAATGGGTTCTTTAACATAAAAGTCAATAATTGGGAGATCTGTTTACGCAATAGGTCAGGCGGCCTACCTTTAGATTACACAAAGACGCATCTGGGATCTGGTTATGGGTACTTATTGGGCCAAAGGCCCACTTAAAATATTGGGGCCCCTTGAGCTTACATCATTTCAACAATTGGGCCTTTAGGTCCACAATGTCAAACGAACTGGGCCTTTGGTCCTAAATTCTGAGACATGATGGGCTCGAGGCCCAAATTACTTCTGTACTTGGGCCCTTTGAGTCCATATTTTAACTCATTGGGCCTCCTATTTCTACTACTGGGCCCTTGAGCCCACTTTTTTTACAGAATGGGCCATTAGGCCCAAATTGTTCCACGAACTGGGCTATTTGGGCCGTATATTGTTTAAATGGGTCGCACTAACGGCCCATATTTTTAGACGAATTGGGCTATAGGGCCTCTTGCATATTGGGCCTTTAGGCCCAAAATGGTCCGCAAATGCGGCCTTCAGCCCACTTTTTTACAGGAATTGGGCTTGAACCCTTTTGGCAATGGCCTTGATTCCATAATTTCTGCATTGAGGCTTAGGCCCACAATGGTTGAGCTTGAGCCCACATTTTCCTGATCTTTTTTACTAGGCTTACATTTTAAGTTTTGGGCCCTTCGTTTATTTATTTTTATTGAGCCTTGAGCCCATTTGTATGACAATTCGGCTCCATTGACTAACTTTTTTTTATCATTCGGCCCTCTTGTTTCATGAAACCGGCCCATTTAATTTGAGCCTTCAGTCCAAGAAACCATTTATCTCTCGGCCCTAAAATCCACGTATGATAATTCTTAAGTCCAATTATAAGTTTTTATATTGGGCTAGAAAAATTCTAAATCAGTAGCCACACGTGCGAATGCTGCTTTGCACTAGGCATTTCCATATTAAAACCAAACTACGAAAAATGTCCATCAAACAGTTTAACTGTTTCAATTTAAAGAACTAATTCTGTAATTCATTTAACTCGGGTCATTACAAATTTACATTACAATAGAAAAAGACCGCATTCTCCATTAAAAGAGGAAATTAAAAAAGCAGATTATGAGTTATGACCATAAACAAATAGAAAGCAAGCAAGCAGATTAGAACTTAAAAGAAGAAGAAGAAGAAGATGCAGGCAGATTATTATTATTTATGAAATGGGATTTGGGGGAAAGGTACTAATTTTCAGGCCATCAACTCCCAATCTCTGCCCCACTTCCAGGGGCGTATAGCTGGTTCAGAAGAAAGTAGGTTGTGACATTGAAGAAAATAAAAAACGAACAAATTATAATTGCAGATCAGGTTGTTTGCTATATAAATATATAAAAACAATTTGCAGACTAGGCCAATCAACCCATAAGAACCACTAGGATGACAACAAAAATAACCATAGACAAAATGAGGGTGAAAGTTGAGCAAAATGATTAAATAATTTAAATTTAGTCCCCTTAAATATCCTATGTACAAGCACCCATTAAGATTTTCTTTTGGCATTTAACATCTTCAAGTTGTAAACATTTGCTGTGGACAACAGTAGCAAAGCTAAAATGTGTTTTGAGCATTAAGTGAATTATGCTCTCAGGACACTAGTCTGTTATGATTGTGTGGTTGTGTACTCTGATGCATGATTTTATTATTAATGCCTAACCACACATATAGCTCAACTACAAGAAGACTGAAATACAAAAAAGGCAGAAACTGAAGAGTGATCAATATATTTATTATAGGTTTGTACTAATATCTACAATTCCTAGATGTACTTAGATTGTAGAATTTTCTTTTCAACAACTTCCCTATATAATCATATCCATGGAAAAATAATGATTAAATATCAGCTGTTCAACTACTTTCAACCATCTATACTTTGACAAGCCTATTATGAATGTAGAAGATTTTAAATACATTATCAATAATCTAATCCTGACTAAAGTAAAACTGTAACAGGATTTTGGGTAGATGAATAATTTGGGATAAAGGGTACAAACCTGCAAGATTTCAAAAGAGAGCAAGCTTTTAGCAATTTGCAAAGTCCCACATCCTGTTCAGGTGTCAGTTATAGATCATCCCTTTACAATCCCAACCACATGATGTTGCAAGCTAAGTAAAAGGTACAAATAATTAATGCAACAGTCTAGTTACATTATAAAGGACTTGAATGGAAGAAAATGGCAATCTCAGCATGACTTGAAGCAAGTAACATATTTATAATTTATAAGCCAAACATGTAGGCGTACGTGAATAGCATAGCCAGCCAATACCAGTAGCAACTTGGAACTATAATAATGCAGCAGGCCAGTATTTGAAAACTGATACACATAAGAAACCCAATTAAAACTAATGTACATTGTATTTTAAAATTTGCAACACCATGAGTCAGAAGACCAATGCCAAGGAATGAGTACCACATGCAATGCAATAAAGAAGAATAGTAAAAGCAATTATTATAATGCCCGAAGCAGCAGACACCCAGCTTAAGTCCTCTGTCAGATGTCATGATCCCAAGATTGTAACAACTATAGTTAAGCAAGGC